AGAACAGCATGGGGGTAATTGCCCCATGATTCAATTACCTCCACCTGGTCTCTCCTTTGATACGTGGGGATTTTGGGGACTACAATTCAAGATGAGATTTCGGGTGGGGACACAGCCAAACCAGATCAGGTATTAATGCCACAATTGCAGTTGTTTGTTTACTTAGTTGTTTGTTTACAGCTAAGTAAATGATGCTAATATCATCAAAGGCAAGAATCGTCTTTTATCCATTTTTAATCCATTTTATCCATTTTTGTGTACATAGCATAAATATTTGTTAAATAAAGACATGTATATATTCAAAATAAAATCAAAGCTATATAGTTGAGTTTCAACCAATCAAAGTAACCACCAGCCAGCTTAAACTAAAAGGAGAATGCATTGTGAGAGTCCAGATGCCTCATGGACTCTTAGAAAAACATCCATACAATAAGGCTCCAGAGATGGACCCAGGCAGCTCTAGAGATGTCGGCAAAAGGGAGTTCTGAACCCCTGTTTTTCCTTGAGCATTTCCATTGGTAGTCTTGACGTTGCACTCCTGATCTTTATATGTCTCTTCCAAATGTTAAGCCTCTGGGAGAGAGAATCTGATTGCCCCAAACTGAGGCAGATGTCTGCCCCCTTTATCCAGTCTGATTGAGGGCAGGGCTATTAGTACCTAGTGTAGACATTATGGCCCATCCAAGGAATCACTGTGAGCTGGGTGGACACCCCAAGAAATGGCCTTTACATGTGGTAAATACTGATGGCTGGCTGACTACAGGCAGCACGGCCTCACTAACACATGGAAATAGCTCAGAAAGCACAGGGTGGTTTCAGTAATTCTGGTTTCTTTTCCCTGTCTTATTAAGATCACTTTTGTTCAATAGACATTTACATCACAGTACACCTACTCCCTGCCAGGTGCCACACTACAAGCTGAGGATATGAAGTAATAAGATCTCATCCTTGTGCTCAGAGTGGGAGAAAAACCAGCACAAGTAATTTGAACAGAGCGTGGCAAGTACAGCAATGAGGACACACATGCGGTGTTCCGTGCTCTGGAAAACCGGTCTCACCCTTATCTGTGGGAGAAGTCCATTATCTCTCTCCCAGTAGCTCTTAAAGATAATTATAAAAACACCCACAAACAATTACAGTTCCTGACTGTGTTCTCTTTGAGGCACTGGGGCCTAAGAAACTTAGGCTAATTATATGGAAAGGAAAGATTCACCCGGCTTGATGGCTCACACCTGTAATCCCAGCACTTTGGAAGTCCGAGGCAGGCAGATCACTTGAGGCCAGGAGCTCAAGACCAGCGTGGCCAACATAGTGATACTCCAGCTCTACTGAAAATACCAAAATTAGCTGCACATGGTGGCACACGCCTGTAGTCCCAGCTACTCAGGTGGCTGAGGCATGAGAGTCACTTGAACCTGGGAGGTGGAGGCTGCAGTGAGCCGAGATCACGCTACTGCACTCCAGCCTGGGCGAGAGAGAGAGACTCTGTCTCAAAAAAAAAAAAAAGAAGTTTAATTATAAAGCAAACAGATTTCATTACTTATGAGAATCATAGGATATGAGGGCTCAAAGGTTCTCCAGATATCATTCAGGCCCAACTGCTTGTCTGAAGTATAAATGCCTTCTCTCCTTTGGTTGCCCTTTTCCTACTTTTCTCTTGAAAATTGCAGCTATGTCAGCTCTCCATGGCTTGATGCTGAGGGATGTGACCACTTTATTAAGTGGATTATAAAGGATTATGAACTGTAACTTCTTATAGCAGCTTTCTTCTTTTCAGTGAGAGTAATTGTTGGTTTTCTATTATGTAAGGTTAAAAAAATTTAATATGGACTTTAAAGGCCATTAAAGTCATACTAATTTGTGAAAAAATCATTAAATTGTAAAGGGATAACTTGGCCAATTTGAACTAACTTGGTTCAGTTCATCATGATCTCTCAATAAGAATTCATGTACAGCCATATTTTTAATGCTGGTAACCTTTGAAAGAGATATGAAAAGTCATCTATTTAATTACTGCCAAGTATACTCTGCACTGTGAGTTCCAGATCTAGAGCAGACATGGCCTGTTGGCTTTCGGCCCTAAGCTGAGCTTTATTGTGTTGTTCAATGGGAGAAATTGAGTGGGAAACAGAATTACCACTGGAAAAATGTTGTTCTTTACCCACAAGTGACGGATTACTTTTTCTATATGTGAGCAAACTGCTGAGGAATGGATTGTACTCGCTGAAAAACAATAGCCAAGCCATCTCTTGACATAACAGTGTTTGCTCAAGGCACCTGAAATGCAGTCAGGAAAAACAGAGATGTGCTTGATATGCTATGTCACTTTATAGTTGTAGTTTTTCTCCCATTTGGTTTGGTTTGGTTCATGCCTAGATAGTCTAAGAATCCAAGAAGCACAGAGCTTGAAATGGCACCTAGACTTCATGTTTTTATTTATGCTGTGTTTCATTCCACAAAAAATTTAACCAATTTAGGATTCTTATAACTTAGACTCTGAGAAGTGATTTCCCCAAAGTCCCTCTGTTAGTTAGTGACTGGACTGGAACTGAGACTCCTACCTTTCTGTCTCCTTATTGAAGAGAGTTGTCATTACATCCCACCCCAACCCACCCCACCATTCATTCTTTTTTTTTTTTTCAATAACCGTGTTAAGCACAAACACTTGCCAGGCACTATGTTACCCCTAGATAGTGTCATAGGGAGTAGGATGGACATGAGTCCTGTCCTTGGAATGCTTCCCATCCAGAGAGAAATTCAAATTTGGAGCAAATGTTCACACAAATCAGTTAGGTAAAATATGAAAAAAACAGACCTATAACAGCAATCATTGTCTAGGGTACTGTGAGCATATTAAGAAGCCTAGAAGGCTTGTTTTAGGAAATGACATTTATGGTGAGCTATGAAGAAGAAATAGGAGTAAATCAGCCAAAGTATTTGTCAAGCAGAGCAGAAGAGAATAGGGTAAGAGAAGACCCTGAGGCGGGTAGATCTTGGCTCAGCTAAGAAGTGGAAAGAAAGTCTGTGCAGCTGGACTGGGGCATAAGTGAGCAAGGGGAAGAAGCACTAGAGGGGGCCAGAGATGGGGGCTGGGACCTCTGAGCTTCCTTATCAACTTTCAGCTTGATCCTAAGTGCATTAAGAAGCCATAAGAAGGGGTTAGAAATATGATCAGTTTTATGTGTTAGAATCATAATAACTTTGCTGGGTGGAGAATGGGTTGGAGAGAGGATGTAACTGAGTTGCTCTTACATGCAGGTGAGAAATGATGATGGCTTATAGATAGGATAGGATGGAAAGAAGTGGAAAGATCCAAGATATGTGTTGAAGGTAAAATCCATGAGACTTGCTGGTTGGAAGTACAGTTGAGGGAAGAGAATTTTCAAGAATGACCCCTGGTTCCTGGTTGAACAACTGGACAGATGTTGTTGACATTTACTCTGGTGGAGAGAATTCGCTGTGGAACCATATGGTGACTAAGTGGGATAAAAAAGCTCTATTTTATTTGAGATACTTGTAAGACATCTAGTGGAGATATAAAGTAAGAGTGGGTATGCAGGTCCTAGTCCTAAGCTCAAAAGATTTGGGCTAAATATGTGAATTTGGAAGTCAACGATATATAGAATAGTCTTTGAATTTAAGGGAAGGGAATAATTCACCTAGTTAGAGGTCATTGAACTCACATTGGAGGGGAAGGATGGGTGGGGTATAAATTAAATAAAGAATACAAAAATTAGCTGGGTGTGGTGGTGCATGCCTGTAATCCCAGCTACTCCGGAGGCTGAGGCAGGAGAATCGACTGAACTCAGGAGGTGGGGGCTGCAGTGAGCCGAGATTGTGCCATTGTACTCCAGCCTAGGTGACAGAGTAAGACTCCATCTCAAAAAAAAAAAAAAAAAAAAAGAAGAAGAAAGGAAGGAAGGGAGGGAGGGAGGAAAGGAAAGAAAAAAGAGAAAGGCATTTCAAGAAAAGGCAGTGACATGATTAAATCAAAGGAAGAATGGTCACATAATCCAATTGGTGAAAACTAAAGCATACAGTGGGGTTGGATTTTGAATGCCCTCCCAAGTCAGGCAGTAGCTGTTCTATATACATGGGTCATATGGAGAGAAATCTGTGAACAGTCTAAGAACTTTACATTATCAGCAGGAAGCGTTTTTTGTGAGCTTCCTTGGTTTATATTGTGAAACATAAAAGCAAACTTCACATAAATCTTGAGATAATTATGTTGGTTGTGCATCATAATGGGTATAATGACTATAAAGGAGAGTCATTATCTCCCACAAACCACTGCCAACCATTTGCTAGTAATGTGGTGGAAATAGGTCCAAATAATCAGAACCAGTATTGTAGGAGTTGTATGCCTGTCACCCTGGTGATGAGGTTTCAGCTGCCATCTACTCTACTCCATTGGGATGAGGAGGAGGAGAATTCACCTAACTACAAAGCATTTTCTGTCTGGATCTCTGCCCTCCCCATCAATCACTCCTCCTCATACTCCACCTTGCAGGCCTATTGTAGACACCCCATCATCCTTCATTTGCAAAACAAAGTTAGAAGCCAAGTGAGGAGGCTGGGATCCTTTCCAGTTCAAAGAACAAAACGCTTCAGACATTAATGGGGCCTAAAGGTTGCACATGGCCATTTGAAAAATTTATACTCCACAGTGCTGAAAGAGCCAAAGCCTTTCCAAACTTATCCTCTGGAGCACCTGACTTACTAAATGGGATTTGAGTAGCTCCTAGCATCATCACTCTTTGTCACTAATAATTGCATCTTAGTATCCCTTGAGCAGTACATCTTTTTTTGTGCATAGTAACTTTGCATGGTTGGAAGCTATATATATGGAAGCTATATATATTTATATATATATATATATATATTTAATTCTATGATGCTGTGTGTGCATTTTCAACTGAGAACTTAGGAAGTATTTATAATTTGAGCCAGGAACTTAGCATTTACTGTGTACTGATTCTGCCTATTTCAACATTTCACAGAAACGAGGATGCAGTCAATCAGATGGCCGTTCCTCCCTTTCTAGTGCCATCAAGTTCTCCATCTTCTATTGAGGTAAGGTTGTTTCTAATTAGCTCTTAGTATATTAGATGGGTTTGTCATGAGCATTTTCCCCAAATCTGACATTTTTGATATTCATTATTTGGTATTCCAAACTCATGGAAAATTTCCTTGACCAAAATAGAAAGTATTGAGGTATTGATTATAAAGCAGTTTTTTAGTAAATATGTTAGAACCTAACATATAAGTATTACCTTCCTCAGACTTGCTCAAGGTCTCCTCTAAATATATAATTTTGTTCTAATTGGGCATTCCAGAATTTACAAGAAAATTCTCTTTGTTTATGAGTGAATTGTACCCCTTTCTTTATGGTTTTGAAATACTTTAGTACCTGTGATCAAAGTGCCTTTAAATAATTACTTTCATCTGTGAATGGAGAAATTACTAGTATAACAAGATTGCTGTAATATTGGTCAGCTTCCGGAGCAGATAGAGATAGAACTGTGTAATCAGTTTGTCTCCCCAGCTGAGGGAATATTCCTTCTCTTCTCATTTTATATTTATTGAATTATTTTTTAACTCCAAGAAGAAATACATACTTATTGTTACTAATTAAATAGTGCAGGGTTATTCAAAGAAATCTTAATTTTTCTTTCACTACCTCCCTAAGGAAGTTAATGTTCACTATCCAGTATCTTTTCATACTTTTTCCTTTGTTTCTACAGTAACCATAAATAGCTATATATAGTGTCCCTTTTAATAAAAATGTGATTGTGCAATAGACATTATTTTTATTCTTTCAACAAGTGTTCAGGGTTCTGGGCTGGGGTGGACCATGGGTGGGATGGAGGCGACCTTGGAGCAGCGCTTAGAAGATACAATGAAGACTCCCTCCATTGTTGGAGTCCCGTGCGCAGATTCACAAGGACTTAATCTGGGTTGCCATGGGACCCTGTCAGATGAGCACGCTGGAGTGATATCTGTTCTAGCCCAGCAAGCAGCTAAGCTAACCTCTGACCCCACTGATATTCCTGTGGTGTGTCCAGCATCAGATAATGGGAGCATTATGATCCAGAAGCATGATGGCTTCACAGTGGCGGTACACAAAATGGCCTTTTGATGGCTCGTATCTGTTGTTCAGCAGCCTATCATAGGAACTCCATCCTACCTATGTGAGTTATCTTGTAGAACTACTAAAGTTCCAGTAGTTAGGCCATTCATTTAATGTGCAATGGGCACTTTTCAATTTACATAAGAGTAAGTTGCTCTTAACACTATGGACTGACCTATCAAGCTATTAGTAAGAAAGGATCGTGTTGTGAAGCAGCCGGTCCAGATCACTTTGTATATAGAATTTTGCTGTATTCAATAAATCCATTTGGAGGGGAAAAAAAAAACACAAAAAACAAGTGTTCAATGAGTGCGTATTATTTGTTAAGCACTCTTTTGGGCATTAGAGGTCTAGGTGTGAATAAAACAGATGAGGCTTCCTACCAATTTGTTATCTTTCTGTCTTCATGATTGAAGACACAAAGATACAAATTAAGAAATAAATAAACCAAAAAAATTATCATATAGTAGTCAGTGCCTTGGAGAGAATTAAAGTGGGGAATGTGATCACTTTGCTGAGTTACAGAGAAGGCCACTTGTGTAGCCGAAACACAGGTTATCAAGAAAGGAGTCTGGTATAAGGAAGGTGATTTATTCCAAAGCTAGCTTTGGGGAAGGGAGTACAGGCTTCCTGCTTTAAGGGTAACTGCTTCACTTTTGGAGCAGAAAGCTGGCACTTTTAAAAGGCAGAGGAGGAAATGAGCAGGGGGAGGTCCATGTGCTAGCTCCGGTGTCTTATCTACAGGGCAGTCGAGCTGGTGACTGCTGGTGCCTTCTTGTACAGGACTAGACCAAAAACTCCCCAGATGGGAGACAGTTTCATATCTCTCGAGGTAGTCTCCTGGTCGGGGGGTGGGGACCCATAGACATCAGCTGTTATTGATCCAGGCAACCTCCTGGTGAGTGAGGGTTCCTTTCTGGATCTCTCCCAAGCACATAGTTAGATGAACTTGCTCTCTAGGGAGCATCTGGTGAAGGGGAGGTAAAAGGCTATATTTGCATTTCTTTTTTTTTTTTTTTTTGAGATGGAGTCTCACCCTGTCACCCAGGCGGAGTGCAGTGGCGTGATCTCAGCTCATTGCAACCTCTGCCTCTCGGGTTCAAGTGATTCTCCTGCCTCAGCCTCCGAGTAGCTGGGATTACAGGCGCACACTACCACGCCCGGCTAATTTTTGTGTTTTTAGTAGAGACAGGGTTTCACCATGTTGGCCAGGCTGGTCTCGAACTCCTGACCTCAGATGATCCCCCTGCCTGGGCCTCCCAAAAGTGCTGGGATTACAGGCATGACCCTATGTTTGCATTTCTAAAGGGCTAAGTAGGAAGTGGGAAACTGGGGGAATGAGGAAAAAAGAGAGAGAAAAAAATAATTATCTCTCAGAAAAATGGGAGTACTTAATTACACTTGGGCAAGGTAAAATTTAAATAAGATAAAAATTAAAAGAAAAAGCCAGACGTTCAGAAATAAGAGGGAGGAGCCTTCCCTGCTGAGTGAACAGAAATAGCTCTCAGGTGAGAATGAGCCGGGTCATGTTTGAGGAATATGGCTAGAAGCATATTAGGAGCTGGGAGAGCAGTGGAATATGAGACAAGAGGGAGAGAAAGGCTGTGTAAGTCAGAGTTAGAAGTTTGGGTTTTATTCTATATGCAGAAGAAGGCACTGGAAGGATTTAAACAGGGGAGTGATGTGACCTGATACATAGTTTTAAAGGAACCATTTGGCTATTTAGGGGAAGAAAAATAACTTTTTTCTTCAACCCTCATAGGTTCTCAGTTGGAATGGACCCTTGTAACAAAAGATAGATTAACAAGAGCAAAACAAACAGCAGTTTAATGACATATGTATTTCTTATATACATGGCAAACACCCAGGGAATGAGTAGTTCTCAATGAGATAGATTTAAATTCTAGCTTAAATAGCATCTTCAACCAAAAAAATGGTAAATGTTTAGAGAAGTGACAAGACAAAGGAAGAGGACTTTGTCTCTAGGGGTGGCAACTTGAGGGAAGGCAAACAACTGGCAGATAAAGGCTAGTTGGTATAGCTTGCTCGTGTAGATTCCCCTGGTGCCGTCTCCAGGGGATACGCATTTTGTTTTGTCTTCAGGGTTTAACCTTTGTTTTCCCTGATTCAGAGGGAGGCAGATATCTTTTGTCTTTACATATCTATGTCCTGCTTTTAGACAAATACAGGGAGAGCAGAAGGTTTTCCTGCATCTGCTTCTTCCTAATTGCCTTCAGCTCAATGATCCTTCCTTTTTAGACTGGCATATTCTCATCTCCCACAGCTGCTAGGTAGGGAATGGGTTGGTAGGAAGGTAAAAGTAATATGCTAAAAGGCAAAAGCCCCAGTGAGGCCCTAATGTGGCTTGGATGAAGTGTTGGTATTGGAAGCAATGAAAAGTGAGCACATTCTTCATGTTTTGGAGGTTGAGTCAAACTTGATTAATTAAACAAGGGAGCTGAGGGGAAGTAGAGAATCATGGATAAACCTAGATTTTTGGCTTGAACAACTGGATAGATAGTGGTACTATTTACTAGAGTCTTTGAAAGAATAGCTGTTCTGAAAATTTAGAAGACTGATTTTATTTTTAAAACAAGCAGGCTAGTATGTAAAATAAAAAGTACAGCTAGTATGTAAAATAAAGCAGGCTAGTATGTAAAAAATATGTAAAGTATAAATAATGCCAGCCTTAAGTTTCAAGAACATTATCACATATCTTAATCAAATTTGTGTGCCATTATTTGTATTTCATTTTCAAAAATAATGAAATCACATTAGGCATTTAAATGTATAAATAAATAATACATCCCTTTCTCTAACAGCATATGCTATGCGGGTGATGTTTCTATTGAACCATCACCATTTGATTATATTCTAGAGAGGGCTTTTTAGTTCTGCTCTGGACTATTGGCTCTAGTAACTGCTACCAAATGATGAATGCCACCCCTCCTGTGGGCGGTATGGGAAGAGTACCCATATTCTTTGGTTTCCTGACCTCTTTCTTTTCCCTTCCCATTTGCCTATGTGGACCCTCTTAGTATATATCTTTTTTTCCCCTTAGATGTTTCTCGTGAGTACTAAAGCATAACTCATATCCAGCATATGGCTAAAAGAGACAGCCCATTTAAATCATAACCAGATAGATGAAATAGAGCCATATCGTTATTAAATTGGACCTGGTAATAATAATTCAGCATTATTAAGTAGCAGCTTTATTATATGCTAATGGTATCTCATATTTATTTCTTTATTCAGCAAATGTTTATTGAACTATTTTTTTTAAAAAAGACAAGATCTTGTTCTGTAGCCCAGGCTAGAGTTCTGTGGTGCTATCATGGCTCACTGCAGCCTCAAACTCCTGAGCTCAAGCAGTCCTCCTGCCTCAGCCTCCCAAGTAGCTGGGACTATAGGCACATACCATTATGCTTGGCTAATTTTTAAATTTTTTGTAGAGACAGGATCTCGCCATGTTACCCAGGCTGGTCTTGAACTCCTGTCTTCAAGTAGTCCTCCCACCTCAGCCTCCCAAAGTGCTGGGATTACAGATGTGAGCTACTGAGCCTAGTGTCATTGAGCTCTTATTATGTGTCAGTGCTCTAGACCTGAAGGGTATCGCAGAGAACAAAATTGTTTCATGCAGTTCTGTGCTAGTAGACTGAGCAAGAGTGCTAATAAAACATTGAGCAAGAAGTCTGACGATGTGGGTTTTGGTTTTGGCTCTACTAATTACCTGTGGGCATATAACCCTGGGAGGCAGTTAACCTCCCAAAGTCTGTCTTTTTCTGTAAAGCCAGGTTAATAGCCTCCCCTGTGTATGTCAAAGAGTAGTTATGAGGGCCAGGTGTAAAAATATTTTATCCCTACAGCTATATATATTTATAAGGGATTATGATGCAGTACTTGTGGTAATTATAATACCATTGGTACAATAAGGGATTATGAT